TCTTCCTTGTTTGAGTCTAATCTATTCATGTACATACATACATACATCTTATTCCTAAACTGCTGCTTAGCACGTTTCTTTAATTCGCTATCAATATTAAAGCATACATTTAGGGGGCATTTCCGCCCCAACCATGTACATGTATGGCATTGGTATTGGTGTGACTTTTGAATTGATTTTTTCGCTCTATTTTAAACTGATTTGAAATTTTAAAAATTGCCTGCACATCAGCATCAAAATACCTTTATAATGATATATAATTGTTCATACCTTAGAAGTATAGTTTAGCCGTAAAAGGGGTGTAAAGGAAACATGATTGCCTATTTATATATATGATATATGTATCCTTTTCTGGAATATTCTAATTTTGTTGTACTTAAATATCTGAGATCTACCGGTTATTATCTTTTTTTTTGATGTTAATTTCTTAATAAAACAAAAAGTGCTTATATCACACAACTTTAGGTTTTTTTTTCAAGAGTGTTGTGAAACAATTTTTGTCTGGTCCCGCACAACCTGGCCACTTTAAAATGAGAGCCGTGGGTGTTTCTCCGCAGTTTTTCGGTTTTTAAAATTTTCAAACCTTTTTATTTCACCTTTTAGTTATTTATTTCGCTGAGTGTTTAAAATAACAAAAAGAGCATTACAAATAACTTACATAAACATTTAAATTTAATGGGATAAAAAACAAAACAATGAATATCAACTGCCTTTTTCATCTGCTTTTTTCAGTTTCATTAACCGCTGTTTTGAAACTGTGAAAAAAAAAATGCAAAAAAGCACATGTGTGCCAGATGAAGGTGGAGAAAAATTTGGAAGTTATTATTAAGTAATTTATAATAAAAACATATAAATAAACCAAAAACATTGAAAACAGGGCTCGAGACAAGTTAAAATGTTGAAAAAGGAACCCATATACGAACAGCTCGAAAACAAAGTAAGCCGAAAATTACAAGCCGCACCATTGAGGGCATCAATATGACTTATATGTATGTACATATTTTCAAGAGAAAAGTGAATTTTTGTGAAGTCATCTGCAAAGCCAGATTCGAAAGAAACACAAGTCAAAGCAAAATTAAAAAAATCTCGTACTAGCAGTGGATTACTTAATTTTCAAATTCGCATAACGTGGCCTAAAGCGTTTGCTTTATACTTTTATTAGTAAATATATAGGTATGTATGTACGTATGTATGTTAATATGTACATATTCGCATTAAGTGAAGGCCAAAAAGCTACAATAAATTGGTTGAAAAGCAAATAAAGTAAAACAACGACGTCGACAGAAAAGCACTTTGTATTTGGAAACTCGGTGTGTTTTTGAGCCAGCAAACTTTCTCCTCGCAAAGAGTTGAGTGCAATTCATTGTTGCATACAGTAAACGGTATTAATATGACA